AGGGAGTTCATTATCACTAAGCCAGTGTTATGGGAAGTGTTGTGGAGGGACTTCTTTAAGAAGAAGAAAAAAGAAAGAAAGATAAAAAATGTGAATGATAGAATGACGATAGCTACGTATGTAGCAACAGTTATTTTCAATATAGGTAGATAAAATTCTCCAATCAGAAGATGGAATGGCTGAATGGTTAAGAGAACAGGACCCTTGCCTGTACTGCTTACAAGAGACTCACTTCAGATTGAGGGACATGCACAGACTGAAAGTGAAGGGATGGAGGAAGATGTTTCATGAAAATGGAAATAAACAAAGAAAAGGTAGGGTGACAATACTTTTACCAGACAGAGTTGACATTGGAACAAGGGCTATAACAAGAGACAAAGAAGGATCTATTTATCCCACTTCTGGGTGTTTATCTGAAGAAACCTAAAACACTACTTAGAAAGGACATGTGAATTCATATGTTCCTTGCAGCATTACAACAATAGCTCAAATATGGAAGGACTCTGGGTGTCCATCAGTGGATGAATGGAGAGGAAAGAGCGGGTATATATATATATATACAATGGAATATTACTCAGCCATTGAAAGAAATGAAATCTTGCCATCTGCAGCAACGTGGCTGGACCTAGAGGGTATTGTGCTGAGTGGAGTGGGTCAGATAGAGAAAGACAAATGTGGTATGTGAAAACTAAAGAACAGGATAAACAAATAAGAGATAAACTCAAGGATACAGAGAGCATTTCGCTGGTTGGCAAATTGGGGAATGGGGGGTGGGTGATGGGAGAGGGAATTAAGAGGTGCAAATTGGTGGTTACAGAATAGTCATGGGGATGTATAGTATAACATGGGGAATATAGTCAGTAGTATTCTGTATGACGTCAGATGGGTACTGGATTTGTCGGGGTGATCACTTCATAAGTTGTGTGGATCTCTAGTCACTGTGCCATACACCTGAAGCTAGTATATTATTGTATGTCCACTATAATTGAAGAAAATAAAAATATAAAGATTTTTTTAAAAAGAAAGAAGGATATTGGAGGCAGAGAAACTACTCAGATTCTTACAATATTTCAAGTGAAAATAAAAGCCAGAACTAAGATAGAAGTTGTAGGAAAGGAAAGGATAAAAGCAGAATCAACAAAAGAACATTTAGAAGGGGTCATGAGGTCATATTGTAACAATGGAGATAGGTAGGGGTTGAAGAGAATGGAGATAGGAAGAGGTTGTCTTCTAGGAGTTTTCTGGTAGTTGGAAAGTTAAGCCTTGCACAGAATCGAATAACAATATCAGAAAGGCTTCCTCTGGCACATATGGCACCTTTGTGCAAACTAGAAGAGGGGTCCCCTCTGGGTAGATCAGGTGGATTGCAAGCTGGATTTCAGCCCCTGCTCATGTATAATTGTCCTCAGCTGCACAATCATCTCTAGGGATCCTGAACAGATTGTTCTTGAGGGTGCCAAGTGAAAGTTTCAGATTTTGTCTTGATAAAGAACTTTCATACTTGAAAAAGGTATAATTTAGGTCATTTGAGAGAAGTCTAGAGGAAAACATTCTAAGCAGAAAAAATGTACATGTGCAGGAAGCAGGACTATTCTTGGCATTTCTTTGTGTTTGTGTGTGTGTGTGTGTGTGTGTGTGTAGTTATAGTGAAAAAAAGCAACCATTAAAAGAATACCCAGGATGTTTTCTTAATTGAACAAAAATAACATAAAAATTTACAGTTTGAATAACTAATACTTAACCATCAATTCTTGTAACAAATGTATATTGACATAATCCTATACCAAAGATTAAGTGAAGCGGTAGTAATACAAGGATAAGACAAAGCCTTGTCCTTAAGATCATCCAAGAATCATCAGAGACCCAGAAAAGTAAGCAATTGAGCTACAAAGGTACAACTGCTGTAATAAAGGTCATTAGGATGTCATGTTACTCTTATTGGAGGGGACAGGAAAGGCTACAAGTAAGGGTATGCAAGCGAATTTTGTTTTTTTAAGCAACTAGTAATATTCCTAACAGACAAAGGTGATGGGGTTGGGAAGAAATTTTATATAATGGGCAGTCACTATGACTTGAGGTGATGGTCTCTGTTGTGCCACTGTTTGGGGTTGAATCCCAATCCCTTCCCCCGCCCAACTTAAAAGCTGTGCAACTTGAGCTAAACGACTTAACTCTTCTTAACCTCCATATCTCAGTTATAAAATGGTCATAGTAATAACGCACACATACTCCATGTGTTTATGAAGAAGACTGAGCAAGACCATTCATAAATGCCTCAGTACAACACCTATAACATATGTTTTAATAAATATTTGCTATTTTCTACTTGCTATCTAAAAAGCCAAAGAGAGCATGATGTGTTCTGGAAAGTGAAAGAAGATTGATACAGATTGGTAGTAAAACAATGAAACATTTACTAGAATACAGTGAAATATGAATAACAACTACAAGTAAGTACAGGACATTTGCCTGAATAAATCTGATTTTGCATTTCTTTATTCTCATCCTAGTAGAATTATCTTATGATCAGTAAAAGAAATTTTAATATTTATTCAATGAGATTTGCATATTTTCCTGGTGAATCTGTATAAATGAGAATGCAATTATTTACTTCAAACTTTTAAGTCTTCCATAGTAACAATTGAAAGCAATCTTTTGTCTTACTCAACAGGAATTTAATTTTTGAAAAAAATAATTCATCCACATTAATAAAATAAAATATTCCATTTAAAAATAAATTTAGTGCAGATGAGTCAAAAGATTTCTTCCTTTCAATCTCCATCTGTCCTCTTTCTTTAGGATATTGCTCTTTATTTGCTTTCTCACCATCATTTAAAATTCATAAAGATTCACATGAACTACTGTTTCAAATCCCCTCAACCTTTCTATATTATCTGGCTCTTTTATTAAAATACATAATATTACTGCTGATATAAATTTGTAGATATATATAGGGAGATGATACATTTATATGTAAATATATAAATACAAAAAAATAAATGTGTGTGTGTGTGTGTGTGTGTAGCACATCATGGGCTCTGTAGCCAGATTGTATGGACAAAGCCCTTGCTGGGTCAATTACTAGCTGTGTGACATTATAGGTCATGTTGCTTAACCTCTCTGAGCCTCAATTTTCTCATCTATAAAATAATAATAATAATAACAACACACATCTATTTATCTCATGATGTTCTTATAAGAATTAAACAAATTAAAATATGTAAAACAGAACAGTGTCTGGAATCTTATAAGTGTTTAATAATTATTAGCTGGTGATATTCATTCTCTTTTTCATCCCCAAACTTTTCCCGTGGTTCACTCTCTCTTTTCCTTGCTTCTCTCTCAGTGTGATGTTACATTAAATACATTCTCTTTTTGGCTTCATTGAATCTCTAAAGTTCTACGTCAAAATAATTTTCATGCCATATCTAACACTTTCTTCAAAGTCTTCATATCTTACTATAGAGCAAAAGCTACATATTAATCATTATCTCAGCTGGCCTGTCTCAGTAGGCCTTCCTCCACCTTTGTTACCTCTAAATTTTTGCCCAATAAAATGGTGCCATGGTATGGAAGAGCTTGCATTTACCTTTGCAGGTTCTAATAAACCTCAGTTCTAATTAAATAATCACATTCACCTGGTACAATTTCATTAGACACTCCCTTGCTGATAGAATGTCCTTAGATTTTCCATTCAGTTAGTAGGCAATTTGGTACTTGAAACCTACACATGGTCAGAAGAAGGCACTTATACAGTATCACTCATCAAATAAAAGAAAAAATTCGTAATTGTTCTTGGCTTCTTCAGTGATAACAGAAAAGCAAAGGTCGGAATTTTTGTTTTGTTTTGTTTTGTTTTACTAGGAAATCATCTGAAATTTTTTCTTTACCATTTTTTATATATTCTTTCCTCTACATAATTTCTTTCTACAAAAACTAACCTTTGTAAACTGACCCTAAGCTTTATGCTTCCATCGCAGTAATTATCAAGCCTTCCATATTTAAGTTCATTTGTTTTAACAAATTAGAATGCTACAAGGTATGAGATAATTTTTAATGTATGGGGGAAAATTGTAATCCAATTGAATACACAAATTGTAAAAGCAGTTTAGGCCTCATGTATGAAACCATGCTTATTACTAAGATAAGTTATATGTTTATATCAGCACAGAGATATCTAACTGGTTTACACAATTATCATGGGAGAAAATATGGTAAATCGTGAGAACCAGATAAGTAATGAGAATTATCCATGACCTAATCTGTAGTTTGTAACATTAGATTACTAAAATTGAAACTGTACTTGGATGTGATATATAAAATATTAAAAAGTATGAGTTTATTTTAGTATTTAGTCTCAAAACTCAGTAAATAGCTTGGATTTACAATCAACATTATTTCAAAAGAATAACTATTTAATGGCTATTCAAAGGAATAACTGATTTTAACATTATAAGTATAATTATGAAAACAACGCAAATATTATTCTAACGTATAAATTAAAGGTTTTTACTACAAAATTGATATATATTTTGTCCAGAACTGCTTTATTCTGTGGAATATTTATTTCTGTCTTGCAGTACAAGCTTTTCATAATGCATCAGATTTTTTTAAAAAACCATGAGAAAAAGATACACTAGAATATGTCAGGGAAAAAACACTAGTGAAGCTGGAAGGTATTTTCCACCAAAAATCAAATATGGCACAATGGTCATTTTGTAGAGTTTATTAATGAAATTGGGAAGAGATTATTAATTTCCAGAGAGTTAAATTGAACTGGCAGTGAAAATTGATAAAGCTTCTCCTGACTCAGAAATACCCTAAGGCTGTTATCAATCAAGAGTTTGGGACACTATTGTAATTCATCTCCAAACATGAAGAAAGTGAGTAAAAAATTGTTTTTAAAAGATTTATTATTCAAAAACATATGTACTATTTAGCTTACTAGAGGAAGTCTTATGGGTATGAGTTTTATCGTGGAGATCCACCGGAAAACATACCTGGCTAGGCTGAAGGCATCGTCAATCAAGCCTGCTCGATTACTGACAGAGAGAACCTATGAGGTCAACCAGAAGAAAAAATGGAATCACTTAGGATTAAAATGGCAGTTCACATATCAAAACAGATCTTTAATAAGTAAATCCAGTTTACCTCATGGTTCCTGATTAATTGATCAATTAATAATCTCCAATTCCTTAAATCATAGTTGACTCTAAAATAGCCAGTTTGATTGATGTTCCCAAGCAACCAGCTTCCTTTGTCCAAAGAAGTTATTCTGTGGTGCTCTGAAAACAGCATTTTCAAGGATAGAACAGATTTTATAATTTAGAGTTAAAATGATATGAATTATGTTTTCTTAATACCAGATATCACAGTACAAATAGTTAAAAGAAAATACCATCTGAAATACCTAATTGAAATCCATTCTTTAATCGATTAATCGCTATATAGAGAACTTGCTAGATCTTTAGTTGGTTACTCATTATTACCTCAATAAAGTTTTTCTTATAATTAACATTTTAGTTCTTGATAAAAGCTCTATTACCAATACATATTTTTTTTTTTCCTTAAGATAAATGTAACCAAGAAATCTACTACTATTCATGTGGCTTTGAGTTAGTTTGTATACAGATATGTGGCTAGAATAAAAGAAAAGGTTTTTGGTGCATATTCTACTTATTTTATTCAGTGAGGAACTGATAACCTATATTTCATTTATTTTTAAGCCATTGCTATGTCTCGCCTTTTTTCTTGTGCTTTCTTGGAAGTACTAATAATTAATAGACTTTCCAGCATCATCAGTTATGTTGGAGAAAAGACCCTCGTTTATATAAGACTCTAATATTTCTACATTTAATTAGAACAAAGAATAAATTCTGCTTATTGAAATCACTTTGGAAAATGGTAACGATTAAATTCACTGGCTAATTCAATTAAAGCAAACCAGCAAAAGCAATCTTAAAATGTACATATTTAACTCCATCAAATATGGTAGAGAGAGAGAACTGCATTCACTCTTAATATCAGACTTTATTGACTTCGCAGACGGATAGTACACAATTCTAATCATTTTGTTGTTGATGTCCTCCAGACTCATGCTTCATGGAAGTTACATAATGTGTGAAATTTGCTTAGAATTTATATTTCATGTGTGCGTGCACGCATACACACACACACACACACACACACACACACACACACACACACCCCACTGGTCTAATTTCTACAATGACTCAAAACCAAAAAATACATCACAGTAAACATTTATGTCAATACTCAGTAAGAGGCATGACCTCTAGTTTTTGTTTTATTATCAAGGTTTTTACACATCTACTACAGAATAGGTTTTATTTTTTAAAAAAACACTGAATTTACAGTGTATTCTCATGTATAACCTCCCCCCAAAAGTAATACCCCCAAAATCATTGGGTGAATATTAACGACCATTATTTGCTCAGGCCTGGAATAGGGTGGGCTAATTAATGTAATTCATATTACGTATTATCAATTTTCAAATATGTACAGTAAAACAAACATATATTGAACATAAAAACCTAGTCTTTAACATTTCAAATAGCCCTTCAACTTCTTGCCACCTTTGTAAGTAGTATCTTACAAAGGTGGCTCAGGAAGTTTAATTTAATTGTTCAAGAAAGCTGGAAATAGTCCATCTCAGATCTCCTGACTTTGATGTTCTTTTTACTGCGTTATGCTCTATTTATACAAGATACAACACTTTTACTGTAAAATGATATATATTTTTCATCTCCTTATACTGATTTGAAAGGGTGTGGGAAGGATAGCACTGAAAACAAGAATTAGAACAGGAGTAGGAAAGTTGAATTCTTGTTCCAGTTTTCCTAAACATAAATGTTTGAACTTCAGCCATTGATTCTCTTTGATTCACAATTTCCTTACCTATAACCTAAGGGCCAAGTAATGGCATTTAAGGTCTCTTGCAGTTCTATGATTGGAAGAAGGGGCTATTTTTCTTAGTCAGAGATTTTACCCCATTTAATCCATTGGTACTTAGAAAAATAGACCTACCCTACAATGCTCTAAAATATTAATAACTTCCCAAATTTCTGATACTTTGTATTTGCAAATTTTAAATAAAATTAATGCATTTACCATACAATTTCTGTGAAGTTTTGGAATGTCACCAATTTTATAGTTGTAAAAATAAAAACAAATAATTAACAAAAATATAGCATTTTTAAAAACTAATCTCATAAAGAGGGATTTTAATTAATCATGTCTGAATTCACTGAAGAAAAATTAAAATTGAAATAGTGTGCTATTGTTAAAGTGCTAACTAAAACCTGAAAGTTATTGCTGTTCATGAATATTTTTATGCCTTTGTTATAAATGAAATCTTTGGAGAAACAATTCCCTAAAATATTTTGTAATAGATTTTTAAATATCTTTTTCATTCTAGTTAATTACATCTCTAAAATGTTCTTCAAATTAACTAATGGCAAGCAATGAATTTTAAAGAAATCTTTTCCAGTGGCCTAATGAGGTATAGTATGTGATGAGTACCATAATAAAAAGTATAAAAGTTATATTTCTAGTGTTAATAATAATAATTAAAATGGTATTTATAATGTATCCAAAATGGCACAAGACTTAGACTATATCAAGGCACCAAGTAGCTGACACTTTTTATAATATTTTATTTTTATATTCTATACTTTCTTTTGGAATAAAGAGAAAGGAGATTAGGTCTTTTTATTTAACAGCTGGATGTTTGTAGAATCATAAGAATTTAAAACAAACAAAAAGTCAGCCCAGGTAATAGGGTAACAATATAAAACAAATTCAGGTGTAATAACACATATTGATTTTCTCACTGGACTCTTGTGAGAATCAAATTAGATAATGCTCTGTAGAATCTACAAAGAACCATATGTGTGTATCCTCTGGCAAGATGCTGAATAACTGACCCATCTGCAAAGTTACTAAAGTATTAAAATCTCTCTGTATCATTGCATGTATGTGGGAAGGGGCGGGGTTTGGGGGAGGTGAGTAGAGGTAATAAATTTAGAAAAGAAAACCAAGCTCCTAAAATATTTTGGTCATTATTTCACAAGCCTTAATTTTTCCATTGGTAAAATAGAGGTAAAAATGATACTTTAAAGCTTGTGAGTCTCAAGTGAACCAATGCTTAAGGAGAGCACTAAGCAATTGTTATTTTTAATGTTTACTTCTAATTTTCAGCACCAATTTTTTTTAAATTATTTTCTTTCCTAACAGTTGGCATTAAATTTACTCCCTTCCACTGCACATTAACTTATAGCCGGTCAACATGCAAGCTACTACATTTATAAATGTCTCCATTCTCAGCATTTTTAAAGTAAAAACAAAAGAGATAAATCCTTTTACCTGCTTTCAATAACTTAAAACTTGGTTTTAAAACTATTTTTAAGGTAAAGTGATCTATGTCTGAACTTGGAATTAATTAGATATTCATCTTAAAGTTTTAAATGTTGAAGTGTCAAGAGTATATGATGATTCAAACCAAATTTATATTCTATATTATTCACAAATGACTTTGCCTTAGTATCTTGAGATATAAAATCCATATTACTAATAATGAGAAATTATAAAACCGTTGATTGTTATAATTAAAATATTCGCTTTTTACATGTTGATAAAAATTAACCAGAATTTTTTTTATATTTTTATGGATAAACATATTTCATTGATATTAGTTGCTACATTTTGAAAAAAAGAATTGAAACATATAGTCTCTGACTTATGTCAGTTCTTTTCATCATCAGGATAAAGAACTTCAAGACAAAACTAAATACAGTTAGAATGAGACTGAACAGAGAAAATAGAAAGGCTGCCTTTCTCTTAGGTCCCTCTTAGAAACTTCTTCAAGATTTATGTATTTATAAAGTTTCCAAGAAATATTTACTTGGTAGGGGTATCGGCATACAAAATCCTCCATATTTTAAGTGAGATAATCTTTTATCAACCAGAAGACTCTACTGTGATTTCATGCAAAAAGGCACATTACATTCTGTAGGTTGAATACTGCACGACTTTGGGGTGAGAGATTGTGCTATTAATATGTCTGTAAATAGTATCTCCCAGAGTTAATCACAACTCAAACTATGTAGCTGTGCATAACAACCATGTATATTAACATAAGTGATATTTTAGGCAAATATATGGTTTGAAATATCTATCATGTTGTTATTCCTGATTAGTACTGAAAGACTATAAATGAAAACAACTTCTTAAATACAACAACCGTGGCTATTGGTCAAGAAAAGTTGTGACATTATTCTGGATACTTTATGTGGAATAAGAGGACACCATGAATAACAGCATGCAAATAAGTAGGGAGTTAGAGGAAATGGACCTGGGAAAAGCATCCAAGAAGAATCTGACTTGCTCTGAATCCCTGTACTGTCTAAAAGTGAAGCTTTGGGCTGGTTCTGATGTTTGATCAGAATCTTTGTGTTCCTCTAATTTTCTCATTTACATTCTGCCTTCCAATGAGAAATGTTTTACTTTACTTCTGAACACTGTTCTATTTCATGTTCCTAGCAATCCTATGAAAGTATGACTTCATTCTTACAGTTGGATCATTACAATAACAACTCACTATTTCACTCATCATTTCATAACAAATTATTTAGATAAATAAAACAACTACGGGGAGGTAAAAGAGAAGTATAAAGACAAATAATACATAAGTGTAAATTCAGAATCAATATATAAAATACTAACTCCAAGAAGTGGAAAGAATAGATTATAATAAACAATTTAAAAAGAGAAATAACAGTAAGTTTTAAAGTAAGCATTTCAATGAATCACCACATAACACGTGAATGTTTTATATACAATAAATATAAATGAAAGCACATATATTCATAGTATGTGATTATGTGTTAAAATATAATGGCATAAATATTTGAATAGAAATTCAGCTGGAAATACAAGTGTTTATATTTCTGGCAAACAGATTAGATTCTGCTGTAAGAACATCTTATATATATGTGTATATGTATTTTGAGCACTGACATCTCCCTTATAATAACAAGACTGAGGAGAATAAACAATATTGATGTTATTTATTTACTTATACCTCACCTTATTTCAAAAAAAGATACGCAGCTGTTTAAAATAAAATGATGCCTATAAAATAGCAAGATAACATCAATTAGCAGAAGATAAGAAAGGACTCAAAAAAAATAAAATGTGGACATACACCATCTAAATCTAAATTAAATGTTATATAAAATGGTAATTGACTTTTTTCCAATTAATGAAAAACAGAAATAAAAAAGACCTGTTTCACATCTAGCATAAAGGTTTTAGATTGGATTCAAGAAATAGCTTTCTGACAGTAAATTGAAACAGGTCATTCATTATCTTATTTGAAGATATTCAGAAACAGAATAGAATCTCATCTTTCTTGCTCCTTGAGAGTTGACACTACCTAGGGATGGTTTGATGAACTATCAAGACCCCTCCCTTCTGGCCTCATAATTATCTAATTTTGTGAAGAATATTGCTTCGCTCATTCTTTAAAGAGCCAGTCTGGTAAAGAGAAGATAGCAGCAAAATGGAAGTAAAAATGTGGGCTGTGTTTCAGTATTTGGTATACTGTTCTAGTATACCAAATATGAGTTACGATTATAATTTAATTTGATTTGGAATTATTAAAATGATATAGTTTAAAACAGCTAAAATTAGTACTATAAATAGTTAATTTTACATTTTCTCTTTACAATCAAAGACAAATAAATTTAATAATTACATAGGCCAATTAAAATTAGATTCTATAGAACTTACTCTATATTATACTTAATTTCATAGAAGTGAATATCATTTCTCTATAATCTCTTTTAATTTGTCTTATTCACATTTTTGTAACAGCTGAAACCAGCTAAATAATTATCTGAAACCAAATGGTTCCTCAGGGGAGAATATATATTTACCTGATTTGTTAGACACCCAAATAATTGCTTCTGAAGACACATGGCTTCTATTTCCTACCACAATAGTTAATGGAATCTGCCACAGGTAACTGCAAAATAAAAGAGAAGCTTTAATAATAAAAATGGTTATAACAAATAAACAAACATGCACTATGCACCTTCTTTGTGATCTTTATTATTCTCTTTAGAGAAACTAAAAAGAAAAAAGAAAAAATTCCCCAGTCATAAAAGTAGAAAATAAGTCAAGAAGATGAATTCAATTTTTCAAGGCCACTAAGCAGACTTGGCCTCTAAGAGTGTTCATTTCAATTCAAAAGGGGAACTGCCAACAAAACAATTTATCTTGAGGAAAAAAAAAATTTGCATTTTGCATTAGGAATAAAAAGTAGCTAAAATCTATAAATCTGAGCCACACCATATATTGATTAAAGTCTAAAAATAACTCTTTTTTACTTGTTTCTGTATTAGATTAATAGATATTTCAGTGGTTTTATTCATTTATATTTCAATATTCTCCTTATTTATCTAACTATTCTAAAAGATACTATTATCGTATTTTTACAGAAAGTTTAATACAGCATACCTAAAGTTATTCAGCTAAGCAGAATAACTGAAAAGTAAAATTAATCAGATCCCCCTAAAATCCAGATCAATACAAGGAACACTGTGGGAAACACTTAATGCTCTGTTTTCTGGAATAGAATATCCAAATTGATGCGTAAAATTGTCTACCACCAAGCAGAGATCATCATGAGTCTCAGACACTAAAGAGAAGCATTTTCTAGAATTTGATTTTTTATAGAATAAGAATTGAGGCCTATACTTGTATATGGAGCAATATCAACTTAATCTTAGATGAATAGGATATGCTAGATGGTATTACAATAAATTCAATGACCACATAGTGTTTCATTCCTGAAAATATAACCAGATTATTCTGACCTATCATTGTACCATTATTAACAGGGGTAGCTAACAATATCCAGTATGGAAAAAATATTTCTCATTTTAAAATGTAAAAAAAGATACTGTGTGAACTCCATAAGTGTGAGAATAAGTGGAGAATTGAGAATTTTTTCAGGAAACATGTTTGAGGTTATACAACTAAAAATGTAATGAATATGTCTTTTGTGGGGTGGGAGGGATGGGCATCTACTCTAAATCTGTTGTGTGGAATTTGATTGTTTTATCATTTCATGTTTCCCATTCACAATAAACACAAATTAGTAATAGTAAAAAATTCAAATGGAAGATAGAAAGAAATTCATAACTTTTTATCAACTGCTATCGACAATATGGAAAGTCAAAATATGTTTGATTCTAAATTTTAAAATTACATGCTGTATTAAATAAGAGAAACATTTCTCAGTGCCAGCTATGTAGAGACACAATGCTGTACTTCAGTGGACTCCACAGAATTGGTCAGGAAATAAGCAATCTATAGTAGCCAAACATATTGATTTTTTTAGATAGAATTAGTGAACAGAACTCATGTAAGCTCTTTAACAAAAATCTCCAAGCTCCTAACATAATGTTAAGAATTTGCCACAAATATTCAATAATGGATTTACTGTGAGAAAAACACAGAGGATCAATATATTTCTTTAACAGCCATTCCCTTAAAAAAAAAAAATACTTTTTAAATTAGTTAGAATAATTAGTTAAGAAACGACAACACCTGACTCTGGATCTAATTCTCAATTTAAAGTCTGAGCACATTTTTGTATACCTGAGATCTTGCAAAAGACTGGAAATGGTCAGCATTTCATAAATTGTTGTTGAATTGGATTGAAATAAAATAAAAGAGACCAAATCAACTATAGGTAAAACAGAGATTAACTTTATGAACTTGACTTTTTAGTACATATTCTCCATTTTCAGTTGTGTCAACTAACTTATGAAGTCAAAGAAGTCTCAGTTAAAGGGCAAAACATATATAAAATTGAAGACTTTTTTAAAATCCTCAAGGATAAATGTGTCTTTTTTGTAACCTGGCCATAAAACGTGTGTGTAACATTATTTGCCCCTAATATAAACAAAGATAATTTGAATGTATTTAAAGTGTATTCTTCTAAGTAATGAAACTAGAAGTTATAATAAAAATTGGTATATTGAGTTTTAGCAAAATTCTCTAAAGTACATTTTAATACTTTTAATACTTTCATGTTATTTACAATAAATTCCACATGCATACAGGAAACTTCCTAAATGGCAGACATTGCATTGCATAACTGTTCAGATGCAAAAAAAAAAAAAAAAGAAAAGTTAACTATAAGGTATTGGGATGCAAACATTGGGCATTCTGAAAACTTTTAAATAGACATCTATATTTTTCATAAGAATGTTTTTGTACTCTATTCCATGTGTCTGTGTGCATGTGTGTATATATATGTATGTACATACATATACAAGCACACAACCAAAATTTATACTTTGTCACAAAGACAAAATAAAAATTACAAATTACTAAGTATATCTGAAAATTGTATTAATTTCTGAATTGTACTTTCAATAGTATATGTTATTTTTTATAATTTTTCAAACAACAAGTATTTAGTCTTTTCACAAATTTCATTTTAAAATCAAGGAAAAGTGGTAATTAGTTGTTTTATAGTTACAACTTGAAAGACTGAAAGACATTGAACATTGTTGAGTAAAGAACTCTGTGTGGTATGCTATAAAGAAATCTAAGACATCAGTGAGTTATGTTTAAAAAGAGACTAGAAAAAAGTACTTGCGAAATTAGATTGTAACCCAGCTGCTTAACTTAAATTTTAGTCATTTCATTCCAAGCAGAAAAAAACAAAAACAAAAAAATTGCATTTGAAAAGACCCCCCAAGATATTTTTTTTCTTTAATAGTTCCTAGGACTACCTCTCTTCATCAGTAATTCACATTTTTATAATAAAGCAATGTTTATTCTAATCATTTTAATGTAGAAAAGAATACATATTTATCTTGAGTGAGAAATCCTTTTTAAACAATGGTACTAATATTAGTGAAACATTAGTGTAGATGCCAGGAAAAACTGTTCAAAAGTGGCTGTTATCAGGTCAATAACAAAAGGAAAATATGACTATGGTGATAAACATGATTCTCTGTAGCACAGAACTCTGAGAAGTGTATAAGGAGACATTACTTAACATTGCAATGTATTAACTTTATAAAGGAAAAAAGCTATATAAATTTATAACTTCCCAAATACCAAAATTCCGGCAAATATTTCATTAACTTTTACATATTAGTTAATTTTATGTAATTATTTGTTATGTAAAGATCTTTCTTTTCTGTGCTGTAATATAGCTACTATACCCAGAAATATAATTACTATGTAAATTAAAAGTGTTCTACACATGTTGTAGTGATATTCAAGTGTTCTCTGCAAAATTCAAAACAGAATTGGTTATATTGGCTCTGAAAATATCCACAATTCACAGGATTTCTGGCATAGACTGAAATTATGTTTTACTACATCAACTGTTTGCATTGTATAATAAAGATCTAGGAAAGCAATATATAAAGGGCAGTTAGAATTGATATTAAAGCTTTGAATGCAATGTTATAGTAAGTTAAATGATCGATAATATAAAACTGAATACTAAATTTTCATCTGTAAGCTCTATTGTTTCAAAATAGACAAAATAATTTTTGAGATTAATAGGATGCTATGTATTATCTTACTCTTAATATTTTATATGCCAAGTTCTCAGGGTTCAAAATCATCTATACGAGTTTTATAACTCCAGCAAAAGCAAAGCTCTATAAATGTTTCATATAGTTATACAGCCTGGGAGGAAATTTTCCTTTAAAGAGTCAGCCTTGTGGCTGGCTGATACATCTGATGAGTGTCATAAGTTGACAGTATTTTTGTTCAAAATTTGTTCTGTCATCTGCGTGTCCTTTATGTTTTTCTGCATCAGTGACACTTGTATCAGATTGATCATTCTCAAAGGCATGGCTGAATCTCTTTAACTTTGCCACAGTCAAGTAGTTTTTATGTACTTCCTGGCAAGGCCAGGGTTTATGTCTAACCAAGTTTAGCCTGGAGCCAGACCGTGGACAATCAGAAGCAGCATTTGGTAGCTGTGGAGAATCCAGGCTGGGTGAAGACGTGTTGACAGATGGACAACATGGATGGATCTTGAGAATATCATGCTAAGCAAAATAAGTCAGACGGAAAAAGTCAAGAGCCATATGATTCCACTCATATGTAGAATATAAAACTGAAAGCAACAAATGAACAAATAAGACAAAAAACAAACAAAAACTCATAGACACTGACAACATATGGTGATTACCAGAGGGAAAGTGGGATGAAGGTGGTAGAAGAGGGTAAAGGAGGTCAAATATGTGGTAATAAAAGGAGACTTGACTTGGGACAATGTAATATACAGATGATGTATTATAGAGTTGTACTCTTGAAACCTATATAATTTTATTAACCAATGTCACTCCAATAAATTTTAAAAATTTAATAAAAAAGAAGTGTTAACAGAGTCAGGCCCTGTCAGTGTAGCAAGGCAATATGTATTCCAAAAGGTGCAAACAATTGGATTACAAAAGCAGTTTGTTGAAGGCCTATACGCATATAGCAGGAGATTTAAGACAATGCCTTCCTAAATGAGATTCCAAATTTAGTCAGCAGAAAGTATTAATGAATTTCTCAATCACTTCCACCTGTAGCCCATCTTAGAGCTAGGCTCCTTAGGAACTATTTCCACTCCTCTTAGAGATAACGAAGAAAACTTAGTGCATACTTCACATCTCCTAGATGTTGGTGGGTGATAAAGTCACTCCTAGTATTTCAAGGTAATAAGAGATGGCATGATCAACCTAATCCAAATACTTCATTTTATTTATTAATTTTAACCTCCATTCCTTCCTGTCACCCCAAACTCTTATCAGGGCACCTAATAAAAAATGGAATTGAATGATAAAAGGTCTACTATCTCAGCCTTTAATAAGACACAAAACACTAAGAAAACATAAAGTAGAAAAGAAACATGTGGTGCTGAATTATCAGTAATTAAATAAGACTATCAAAAGTAAGTTAAAGTATCAACAAATCAAAATTCTACGTATTGTCTTTTTGGTGTTTTTAATACTTGGAACATTTTGGAATGAATCTAGTTTATGTTCCTTTGGCTCAGACAGTATTTAGTTGTGTTTTGTTTGTTTGTTTTAATTAGTCTTTCTGGGTTGTTAATTTCTGTTTTCTTCTATTTTATAAATCACAGTTTATTCAATTCCATTTAATTTACTTCAATGCATCTTAATTTTCTTGCATCCAACATTTACAAGGAAAAGTAAATAATCACATGTGATCTTCTTAAATCATCATAATAATTTAAATTATGTTTTCCTAAACAAAATAATTTAGGTGTGCTATTATCTTGATGGTTAAATATCTGGAAATGGGAGTAAAAGAGGAATGAAAATGAAAATACCATATGTAATTAAAGAAATAACATATATAGATAAAGAAATAGATACTTTATTTCACTTAAAACATTTCAGGTTTGTGATATCAACACTTTTTAAAATATGAAAATGCAAAGTGAAGCATAAGAATAAAAGTAAGTTTTCAAGTAAAAAAAAAAGAGTTGTACCTGTTATTCTGAAGTGCAGGTGCTTTAGTTTTAGTTCTGATGTCATAAATAAAATGTTGCTGGGTAATTATTATCCAATTTTCTGCTGTTGTATTTCCTAAGATAGTGATAACAGGATAACCCATCTGGAGTGTCCATTGATCCATTACTTCTTGTATATTTACATATTTTCCATTCTTTTTTAAAGCCTTTATAAACAAAATTGTATAAATTAGTTATATAAACATGAATTGTAAACATAATTAACATTCATCATTTTCATTTTTACCTGTATAATGTAACGAATATGAAAACATTTAAAATCAGTGAAGCTCTTGTGTTAGTAAAATCAGTCTTCTTGCCTTATGTTAATCTATATGTATATGTTACATATAAAAAGCTTTATTAACATTAAAGTTTTAACTTAATGAAAGATAAAGCATATTTTACTGTTAAAGCAAGTACTTACAGCATTAACTATCCCAATACGTCTAGTAACAAATTTAAATATTTGGTATTCACACATAAAAAAGTCTTTAAAATGTTAATATTTATCTCTTTAACATGTATATCTGATACCATATTAAAATTATATTTCAGAAGTATTGTCATGTTGAAAGTAGGCTAGATATTTTTTACTATATTCATAGTTTAATTTTAAACCCCCATTATCTTTAAAACATAGTTGTAATATACCAAAAATAAAACAAGAAAAAGTAATATGAGAAGAAGAAAAGTATAAAAAGCAAAAGCAAACTGTCGGTGTCAATAATAGTTATTACTCTTTTATAAACTCAATTCAAATAATCAAGAAAAGGTTTTGGCATTTGAGCTTCTTATACTTTACCTCTGATAGTGTATTCCACAGGTCATTTCTAGCAGCATTGCCATACTTATGAATAGTTAAATAATCCTACAAAGAAGGCAAAATTGTAATTACAATTCAAAGGCTAAGCAATTTTCAGTAAACACATTTATTTCTCAATTCAATTAACCATTTCCATTTGTTGGAATTGAATTAACACAAAAATAAAGACATACGGAAAGATAAAGAATCTCATTTTAAAATATTCCAAAGAGATTTAACTATAGCATATTTCTTAATTAAGTCATCAACAATCTCTTAGAAATTATTAATCTCTTAAAATTATTTTCATAGCCATCATCACTCCTTATGGATTGATTTCCACGGTCAAAGATCTTCTTCTAATTTAGCAAGTTAATCTTGGGCAATTTTGAAGAAATTATCTCTGCAGTGAAATATATTTGGCAAAACTTTCTAAACAGATTTGCATTTTGAAGTGTTGGAAAAAAAAATTTTGTTTTATGGAATAAAACAATAAATGACTGACTGATATATGCGATGTAAAGAGGGATTGCTTTGCCAAAATAGTGATGACTGTCTCCACAACCTGTCTAGTTCCCTAGTCTTTCTGCAAAGGACAGCCTGCCTAACTCAAAAATGATACATATTTATTTCCATAAGTTTGAAACATATTAATATGTAATGAAAAAAAGTCAATCCTAATTTTATTTAATATTTTTGGGCTTAGGACTTCTCATTTCCCATTTTAAGATCAATCATGAGTAGTTAAACCTACATACTTTCTATCTGATTCATGTCTGCTCCTTCCTGTGAAGCATGGTTTATATCACTGTGAATGTGTTATTTAGTTATGGCTACTTGGCATTATTTTTTTCTGAATCCAAAGTAGAAAAATGAATAAGAAATAGTGTTTTATATTATAAAACAGAGTTCCTTCCTTCATCTGAAATTCCATCATCTTTATAACATGTAGGTAGTAGACAAGATCCTAATTTACATCGCAGTACTGAAACTGAAAAAAAAAAAAAAATGCTGACTCCTTTCAGTACTTTGTGTAAAGTGGAATACTTTGAGGATAATTAAAGTTGGGAAAGCAAATTTTCTGAAATACAAATTATAGCACCTGTGACAGATTCAGCTTTGTTGGCAACTCACACAGCCCAGTAAATGGCAGCTCCCACTGAATCAGACTTCTAGAGATGCGATGCCCAGCACTAGCTTAGCAACCACAAATTCATCATCGTCATCAGGTGTTACGAATAACTTTATGGAAAAAAGACAACCTGAATGACCAATCTGAATCCCAATTTTGGTTTTGGTCAGGCCATATGAGGCATTTTCAATTAGAACCCAGGGATCTGGATTCAAATAAATTATTTCAGATTTAATTGTCAGAATTGTCTTTTATGCTTTTTTAGCTCTTAAATAAATAAATTTGGGAACATTGGGAATTATGGAACATAAATTCGAGTTTTATTTTAGTGATGCTATAATAAAAAGTATTAAAATTAGAACTATTTATTATTAGTTTGTGTTTATGGATAGTGCTGCTGGGATAATTCAAAAGAGAGAAAAAAAGGAGTTCTACATGGACTTCGAAAGGTCCAATACATAACTACACATTTCTCTTCACAGAAAGATCGTAAAAGTCAAATTGTTAATGATATGAGTTGACCTTGGCCCAATATTGATCAACAACTCAAATTCTTGGTTCCCTCCACAATTCAGACTGAAGTACAAATTTACATATCAAGCAGGTCGAAATGGCGATTATGCAGGCTAAGGAAGCAGCTCCAACTTGCCCACCTCAGTACTCAAGGCAACGGCTTATCTTTCTGGGCTTCCATCAGTCCCAATTTTTGGGTGCTATTGGAATTCTACATATGTCAACATTTTTTCCAAAAAAAAAAAAAAAAAAGACCCAAACATTTTCATTGGTTATTTTAGCCTTCCTCTTGCACAAAAATATTCATATTTTGAATTAAGGAAATTTTGCTTTCTCTTTGTAGAATTACAAGAAACTTAAAGAATAACAAACTGTGTAAGTTTCTCGTAATTCTACAAAGAGAAAGCAAAAAATCCTTTATTTATTCATTCATTCCACAAAATGTATGGTGCACTTTGCATGAGACAGCTTGCTAGGTGCTGGGGAAACAGCGTTGGAGAAAGGTTACTGAGAACAACTACAAATACTGAGATGTGATTTGTGGAGGAAGGTTTCTGTGACTGAAACTTAGAGATCTTAATACAATAACCACTTGGCAAGATGAATTCAAACATTTGGTATATGATGTTTCTTTTAAAACTACAATGAGTATAGAAATGGCTGCAGTTGTGAATCCGACATGGAAATTTATTTATATTTAAGTGTATGAAAGCCAGTCATCAGATTTGACATCGTGATACAAAGTAGTTTTTAATATTAAACTGTTAAAAAAGAACTGTGAGTTCTCTACAAAAAATACTTCAGAAATAGCAGAGTTGTTGAAAAGAATAAAACAAAGATGACCACTAGAATATTCTTAAGGGACATAACCAACAATATAAATTGATTAAAAGTTAAAAGCCTATTAAGATACATGAAGTGCAGAATAGATGGCTGTAGCAATGCCAAGCATTACATTCCAATATGACATGGCACAGAAGAAAGAGACAGAATTACTTTCTGAGAATCTCTTTTTTAAGAATGAGGAAAACTTCCCCTCAAATGCTGCATCAAACTCTCATATTTCTCATTTGTCAGAACTGCATTATGTGCTCTAGCCCAAGTGTGTTAATGAAGCTTTAGAGAGAACTGTGTTAGTATTGCACAAGGCAGGACTCATCCTGTGATGTATATGGTTGTGTAGAAGAGGTTGAGAATCTGAACAAAACCAGAATTTGGTTAATAAGAAAGAAGAGGAGACTAGTTTATGGGTAGACCACCAACAGTTTTCTCCAGTGAGACAGGAGATGCAAGTCTGGACCTCGATGACATTTGAAAGTAGGATCCCTTTCATTTGTAAGACTAGTCTGGGAAATGTCAAGAAAATTTGGCATTGATTTTTCTGACTGTGTGACAAGAAGATTGAAGCAAGGATTTGAAATATTGTTCCTTTCTGCTAAAAATAACTGTACCTCAAAAAATTTGCAGTGAGTGTTTATCATTCCTTTGGCTTTCCAGCATTTAAACACCACTTTTGTGTGGGGGCAATAACTCACAATGGAATCTTGGAGGAAAGTGAGGGATCTGCCTTCCACTTGAAAAGGAAGGAACAAATTCTTAAGTATTTCCTCTCCACTCTCCTTGGCTAAAGCATAGACATGTGCCCTGGCCTCAGACAAGTGGGTTCTTCATCCCAGGACTGTGAAATCTACAGAATCAGTGCCAAGAAGAAGGAATCGTTGAAAGATTATTTCCTATGACGGTGGCAATAAGGTTCCACAAGTAACCATGCTAATGGCAGCAACAGAACCAGCCACTCCTGTGGCACAAGCTTGACTAGGTTTCTTAATTTTGGAATCTCTCTTAGCTCCTATTATCTGTATTCTAAGCCTGATTCTTCAGCTTTCTCAATGATTCCAAGGGCTACCCTACATTCTGCTAATAAATTCCTTTTTGCTTAACTAGTCAGAGTTTGTTTCTGTTGCTTGCAACCACAAACCCTGACTTATACAACACTAACAGGTAATATAAACAAAACAAATAAAGACATTTAAAATTTTATTGTTAACCTCAGAAAGAAAAAAATAGTAATTATTTCTCACAATTTGTACAAACCAAAAACAAAGAACACCCAGTTCTATTTAATAAATCTACTAGTCTTTCATTGTGTTATGAACCATAGGCATGGAGGGTGAGTCAGTGGAGGTGGATACTTAAAGAAAAAAGAGAGATAAACAAGAAAGTTGAAGGAAAAGGTGTGAAAACTCCACAGACAGGAGTGCAAATGAGTAACAACAAAAAATAAAATCATGCGAAATTTTTGTCTTAAACAAAGCTCCTGGGAACAACAAGCTCTAAAATTAAATATTTCTAAGTGTGTGCATTATTAGAGTAAGGTGATCTTAAAGAGATTCATGGACAAAAACAAAAGCAGATTAAAAGCTACCAGATCACAGCAATGTCACACAAGGATTGAATAAAACCCATTTGAAGCCTGGCCCATGCACTTCAGAGGATGTTTTCTACATTCCCTGACCTTGAGAAATAGAAGCAAGGAAACTAAAACAACAACAGATGAACAACTAAAACACAAGAAACCTAAACTACAGATCAAGATATTATTTTAGTTAATACATGAAGACTATTTGGAGCTTATGAGATTAAGTAAAAATGAGTAGCGAAGCATTGAAAAAGCATTATGCAAAACAAAAGAATGTTTACATTTTAATTCTATTAGATAAGAACCAAGGGTGAAAAGATATAAATAATTATTCAACCTTTATTATCAAATTATAACAAGTGTCCAAGGAGAAAACTCAGTAATATAGAAACCATTACCAAATATTTTGAGGTACAGTAGTTTATGGCCACCAGACACAATAAAAAAATTAAAAAGAGGTGGAAAGTTATTTGAATACATAGAACAACAGTAGTTGAAATGTCAGTTATCACATTGTTAGCATGCCATTCTGATTTTGACTTTCAAAATGTGTATTTAACCCGAATTTACTTTTACAAGTTGCTTACTTAGGTATGAGTATTCAGATATTTCTCTAGGAACAAAAAGTTATTTTGCATGTTGTAAAACTCCATTGCTCCACCTAATGAGTATAAATTTTGTAAAATCAGATTTTCTTAAGTGTTTGCTAAATACACCAGATAATCAGAAAATTTTAAATCAAAACTACCTGCTAGCACATGAAAGATTTTTTTGTTTGTCTTAAATTCTGGACAATGGCATATTCTCACATCAGTTTTGTTTTCACATATCTCTTATTTAGTAATTACGGATCATGGCATCAATGCCACAGTATGCAGGCGTGTCACCAGAGGTGCAATATTGCCACTGTCAAATTTGTACTCCATTCTGGAACAACTTGGTATGGTCCTACACCTGTCAGCAAAATAGTGTGAATGTAGGTCCCTAGAGGTGTTCTCGGGT